GGGGATTTTGGGGGCATTTCTTGCCTCGCTGTGCCAGCGGCAGCTGCGCCGCCTCGTGGCCAAAGTGCGCAACTGCGGCGGGCGGCGCAGAGCCCGCGAGAAACCGCCCGGTGAGCGCGGGGGGTTGGGGGAATTGGGGAAATTGGGGGTAAAATTGGGGATTTTTTGGGGGGATTTTTTTGGGGATTTTTTTGGGATTTTTTGTGATTTTTTTGGGAATTTTTTGGGATTTTTTGGGGATTTTTTTGGGGATTTTTTTGGATTTTTTTGTGATTTTTTTGGGGATTTTTTTGGATTTTATTGGGATTTTTTGGGGATTTTTGGGGAATTTTTTGGGGATTTTTTGCGATTTTTTTGGGGATTTTTTTGGATTTTATTGGGATTTTTTGGGGATTTTTGGGGGATTTTTTGGGGAATTTTTTGCGAATTTTTGGGATTTTTTTGTGGAATTTATTGGGATTTTTTTGGGATTTTTTTGGGGAATTTTTGGGGATTTTTGGGGGAATTTATTGGGAAGTTTTCGGGATTTTTTGGGAATTTTTGATGAAATTTTAGGTAATTTTGGTGGATTTTTTGGGGGAATTTTTTGGGGAACTTTTTGAATTTTTAGGGATTTCTTTCTGGTAATTTATTGGGGAATTTTCAGGATTTTTTTGGGGAATTCTTGGGGATTTTTTGGGGATTTTTTTCTGGGATTTTGGGGGATTTTTTTGGGATTTTGGGGGATTTTTTTGGGATTTTTTGGGGATTTTTTTGGGAATTTTTTTGGGGAATTTATTGGGGATTTTTTGGGATTTTTTGGGGATTTTTTGGGGAATTTATTGGGAAGTTTTCGGGATTTTTTGGGAATTTTTTGGGGAATTTTTTGAGAATTTTTTGGGATTTTTGGGGGTTTTTTTTAGGGAATTTTTTGAGGATTTTTGGGGTACTTTTTAGGAATTTTTGCTATATTTTTTTGGAATTTTTTAGGGGTTTTTTTTGGGAATTTATTGGGAATTTTTCGGGAGTTTTTTGGGAATTTTGGGGGAATTTATTGGGAAATTTTTTGGGAATTTTTTTGGGAATTTTTTTGGGAATTTTTGGGATTTTTTTCGGAGTTTTTGGGGATTCTTTTGGAGATTTTTCGGAATTTTTTGGAGATTTTTTGGGGATTTTTTTTGGGTACTTTTAAGGGATTTTTTCAGAATTTTTTGGGGATTTTTTTGGGGTTTTTTGGGTTTTTTGATGGGTTTTTTTAAAGCTTAGGGGAAGTTTGGGGGGATTTTGGGGGATTTTGGGGAACAACAATTTCTCCATTTTGGGGTGAATTTCGGTGTTTTCGGGGATAATTTCTCTATTCTGGGGACAATAATTTCTCCTTTTTGGGGATAATTTCTCCATTTTCGGGGTGAATCTCTCTCTGTTTTTGGGGATAATTTCTCTATTTTTGGGACAATAATTTCTGCATTTTCGGGACAATAATTTCTGTATTTTCGGGGATAATTTCTCTATTTTTGGGACACTAACCTCTCCCACTCCGGGAACAATCACCTCTCCGTTTTGGGGATAATTTCTCTATTTTTGGGGATAATTTCTCTATTTTTGGGGACACTAATTTCTGCATTTTTGGGGATAATTTCTCTATTTTTGGGACACTAATTTCTCCATTTTCGGGGATAATTTCTGCATTTTCGGGACAATAATTTCTGCATTTTCGGGACAATAATTTCTGTATTTTCGGGGATAATTTCTGCATTTTCGGGACAATAATTTCTGTATTTTTGGGACACTAATTTCTCCATTTTCGGGGATAATTTCTGCATTTTCGGGACAATAATTTCTGCATTTTCG